CCAGCCTCCTCACCCGTGTCTTCCCCAGGGGAGCACCGGGAAGACAGGAGAGCGAGGTCACAGCAGGAAGAGAGGATGTTGGCACTGTTACCAGTGAGACGGCGGGACCTCACTGACATTTCCTGTATTCTTGAAGGAAATGTTTCTAATCCAGAGACAACGTGCAGCAAAGCAGCAAGAATTCATTGGCCACAGCAACACCACACTGGGGACAGTGAAACAAGGAAGGGCGTAGTAGCAGCAGCAGGAGAGCCTGGGCCGGGGTGCTCTGCCTCACTGGAAAGCCAGAAAACAAAGGGGGCCTCGGAGACAGGTGCGGGGGTTAGCCTGGGACGAGCTGCTGCTGCCCACCGCTCCCCTGGTGCCAAGGCTCCTGGGGCCCCTTGGAGGGAAGAAAGGGGAAGGAATGGCACAGGTGTGCTCCTCTGAGGAAGAGTGCTCACGGGGTCCTTTGTATTGAGAGTATGGCTCTCTCTCTCTTGCAGGTGGGAATCTTAGGGGGGGTCTCAGGGGAGGGTTTCACTAGAATATTCATCAGCTTCCCAGATGTGCTCTTTCGGGGTCGAGGTCTCCACTGATTGGTCAGCACCAGGGCAGGGGGTCCTTTGTCATTGCAGCTGGTCCTGGGGCAGCCATGGTGTCACTGGTCTGGCTTTGCTGCTTTTCGGGGCCTGGAGCTGACAGACAACTGATGCCTGGGTGCTGTCTTTAGGGAGGAAAGGCCTGGGGTCTAACCCACGTAAACGTGCCAGGGGAGGAAAGGCCCCCCTGGGGTGAGGTCCTTGTTTCCCAGTTTCCCCCCTTGTGAAGCACCCAGGGCTGTCTGCCCTCGGCCCATCATACTGGCTCTGCTCATGTCTGTCTAACTGCCTATAACAGAACCAAGCTCTGGAATGGAGTAAACAGGAAGGATGGCATGCAGATCAGCACCCCCAAATCCCAAATATACATCCTCAATGGCCAGGTCTGGACCGGAGCAGTATGGATACAGGGATGCCGTCAGGAGGGTCTCCTGGCCTGTTTCACATCAGCATGAAAACTCCAAAGGCATGGAAGCCATGTTGAATAGCGATGACATTTAGGACAGAGGAGAAATGGTGGGAGGGAGCAGGGTCTTAGATTTCAGAAGTGAAACGAGTTTACAGGTGGTTGGGGAAGAGCAGAGCACACGTGGCAGGAAAATTCCTGCCGGGAAACCCAGAAACCATGGGCCACTGGTGTGGGGTGGGCCACGGCTCTGCTTGTAGTCTTCCTGTCAAGTCCAGTGCAGAGGTGAGTATGCTAAGGCTCCCTTCCTGAAGCAGGTTTTTTTCAATCTGATCCACTTGGGCAGGAAAGGGGGAGGGTCAAGAGTCTATCTATCATCTATCTATCTATCTACCTATCCATCCATCTAAAAGCCAAGCAACTAAAACGACCAGAATAACCGGTCGCTATGATGCACACTGCAGCTGGCCAACCTCCTACGGTCCTTCCCCCAGTCCCACAGGCCCCGATCACCCCACGGGGCTGGGCCCTGGGCTGGGACAGGAAACCGGGGGTGGGTGCAGCTCCTTTCCCAGGGGGACTGAGGGCCAGGTCCCTTATTGGGGCCAGTGGCCAACCTCCCGTGACCCTTCCCCCTGACATACCTCCTGTGCTCCGTCCCCCAGCCAGCAGGCTCCATCCTTCCCCTGGTGATGGTGAGGGAAGGGAGGCGGGGGGGGGGGGTAAGGGAGAGACAGGGAACCCCATGGTGGCGGGGTGCCAAGGGTGGCATCATCGTCCAGGATCCATTCCTTCTGCACCCCATCCAGTGACTGTCGCCTCGTCTCCCAATCTCACCAGGTCTTCGGGCCCCCATCAACCCTGATCACCAGCCAGGCCTAAGGATCCCACCCAGGCATGAATTTCATGCACTGGGCCTCTAGTTTTTATGATAATACTAAAATGTTACTTCCATCTTCTATACTCATTCTCTCCTGCAAGTTGGGTAGAATTTTCCAAAAGTTTCTTAACAGACTGAATGCAAGACATAGGAGAAAGCTGCCTTCTGCTAACACCAGATAGAGGTTTGCAAAAACTGTTAAAAAAAAAAAAAAGTCATTCTTCTCACTGGTGTTTAAAGAATAGTTTTAATTAAAACGTTACTTATATTGCTGTTTAATGGGTTTATTATTAAATGAGTGGTTACAAATGGTTAAAATATCTCCGTTTTATTTCCTAATTTGGTAACTATTGATAGATGCCATCCCCATGAACAACAGCTCTTTGGGGTCCTCAGTTCTTGAGAGTATAAAGGGGCCCTGAGAACCCAGGGTTTGAGGAGGGCTGGTGCAACAGGGAGTCAAAGCTTTTAAAAATATATATTTTTTGTTGATTTTTTACAGAGAGGAAGGGAGAGGGATAGAGAGTTAGAAACATCGGATGAGAAAGAAACATCGATCAGCTGCTTCCTGCACACCCCACACTGGGGATGTGCCTGCAACCAAGGTACATGCCCTTGACGGAATCGAACCTGGGTCCCTTCAGTCTGCAGGCTGATACTCTATCCCCTGAGCCAAACCCGTTAGGACCATTAGGACGGCAGCCAAAGCTTTTGGTCACAGTAGCCAGAGCCAGTGAACACCAACAAGCAGTGAGAACAGTCCCTTTGGCCAAGCAGCTCCGATTTCGGGAAGAAACGCCTGGTTAGCTCCATGGGCTGGAGCCAGACCCTTGATCACCTTTGGGGATGTGTTTAGTGACCACACCGGCTCTTCGCAAGGAGGGAGGGCCCATCTCACCCCAGGCTCTGGTTTCCCTGAGCGGACCAAGGAAGGGGTGGCTGCCACAAAGGCGGGCACAGGGGGGAGGGGGGGAGAGGAAGAAAGTGGGGGAGGAGGAGAGGGGAGGGGAAACCCATAGGAGCAGTGAGGGGGATAGGCCAGCTGAAGATGTGTGTGTGTGTTGGGGGGTGCTATCAGGGAGTGAGGGAGGGGTTCACTTCTCCTCCCTTTCCCTCCATGGCTCCCCAATACTATAGGAGGGGACTTCCTTCTTGGAGAAGTGCTTCCGGAATGACAGGAAGGAAAACCCATGTTACCCACCAAGAGGATGGCCACACGTGACTGCCATTAAAACACCTGGAAAGAAAGTCATTGCTCCCCACGCCCCGCCAGGCAGCACCAGGGGATCCGGAACGCTGGGAGTCCACCAAGAGGCGGGGCAGCATTTCCTGAGGAGACAGCTCTGCCATCCATCAGGGCTGCAGGCGCCAGATCTCCAAGGCACCAGCGTATCTGCGAACAGGAAGGAGCGCTCTTCAGACTGAAAGCTCTCGCACACACGAGATGGAGCCAGGAGTTTCGTGAAGGACAGGCCTTAATGAGACTGGATTTTTTAAAAATTCCCTTGTGGTCTTTAATTAGAGAGAGCAAATGTCTCCGGTGCTGAACGTACCCATGGCGTAGCCCCTGTGTCAACGTCCTTAATGCATTCCAGTGGCTTCTCATAAGGTTACCTTCTCCTGAGAGCTGTCTGATGGGCCTTTCAGACCCCCCCCCAAGACCCGACATGAAGGCGCATAACCACTTTTTAAAAATTAAACCTCCCCCACAACCTTGATTGTGAAATGCACATGTGAATGTGATCGCCCGGAATAAGTATGCAGATTTATGGAGAATGGCAATTTCTGTTTTATCAGGGGACCCAGCCAGGCCTCTCTTCGCGTGCCTGGGCGTTTATTAAAGTTGGGATGTATTTGGGGGGGGGGGGGGGGAGAAAGGGATGTAGATTTAAAGTCATCTAAAAAGCAATGCAGCGAAGCTGCCTGGAAGAGCCACAGCTGATTCTAACATGGAGCAGACGCGCATAAAATCAAATCTTGAGTAGAAGTCGCTGGAAATGGCAGCGAGGAGGGACGCTGGGCGCCAGCCACCCTGGTGTGTAAGGATGGACTTGTTTTCCTTTAAAACACGAACAGTTCAGCCTTTGGAGGTAGAAAGCTTTTTCTGCTCCTTGTTTCTGCAGAAATCGATGGACAGCTTGTGTAACTGTCCTTCCTGCGTTTAGTCGCTAAAATCAAATAATCCTCATTGCTTGGATTACTAAACACATTTCTGCGGTGCCAGGGTCTACAGCCAAGCAGGTGTTAATGAGAGAATCCGCCGCCTGGAGCGGCTGGGGGCGGGTGTGGGTGTGTGTGTGTGTGTGTGTGTGTGTGTGTGTGTGTGTGTATGTGGGAGGGGGGACGGGGGAGGGTGGTAGGGGGGGTGCAAAGGGACCGGCGCCCCGGATTTGGAAGGTGCGATGGTGTCAGCAGCTTGCCAGGTGCACGCGGGGCGTCCTGCAGGCGCTGAGCAGGCGGCTCCCAGCAGCAACAGCAAATCTGCATCGCTGAGGAGCACGGGGCGGCCAAGTCCAGGGTCAAGGCCAGGTTCAGATGCGCCCTCCCTCAGCGGGAAATGGTGGGCGCCAGGGGAAGACCTAGGCTCTGGCTGCAGAGAGAGCAGCCAAGCCCTCCACCCCTCCCCTCTCCTCTCCCCCCTCCTCCCCCCCATCCCGGGGCCCAGGATTTCCACGGAGAAGTCTCCGAAGCTATCGCGTCCCCCCAGACCTCGATCTGGCCGCTTCGAAACCTCTGGGACCGCAGAGGGGCGGAGGGAGGGGATGGGCAGGGGCGGGGGTCTGGGGCAGCGGGGGCCTGGGCAGGGTGGGCGCAGGGAGGAGCCCCGGGAAGCGGCCAGACCCCGATGGACTGGGGGCGGCCCCAATGCACTTGGCGAGGGGAGGCGCAGACTCGCTGGCTCCGCAGTGCTCACGGCTCTTCCTTTCCGACTCCCTGCTCTCCTCTCGGACCCGACTCCCCCTGCAGCCCTGCCCCTGCGCCTCCTCTTCCCCCAGGACCCCGGCGGGGCGCCCTGGCGCGCGGGGTCCCGGGGGTTCCAGCTCAGGCCCTCGCTTCCCCTTTAAGGGTTCCCGAAACTTTCCCCCTGGAATCCGAGGAGCCTCGTCACATCCGCTGGCCGCGGCCGCCGGGGAAGTTCGGGACCCCGGGGAGAGGCGCGGCCCGGGCCCGGGAGGGCGGCGGGGCGGACCCCAGCGCACCCCGCGCCGCGACCTTGGCCGCGGGGAGGGCCCGGCCCTGGCGGGGCAGACACCGCCCGCCAGAGGGGGCAGCGGCGACCAAGTTGCTCAACTTGGCGGCGCGGGCTCGGCGCCTGCTCCTCCTCCTCCCCGGCCTCCTTCCCTCCTCCTCCCCCCCTCCTCCCGGCGCGCCCAGCCCTCCCCGCAGCCCGCGCCGCCGAGCGGAGCCGCACGCGGAGCCGCAGCCGCCGGCGGACCGGACGGGACCGCACAGGCCGGCCGGGCGCGCCCCCGGGCCCCGCCGCCGGCATGGGCGCGCTGGCCCGGGCGCTGCTGTGGCCGCTGCTGGCCCCGTGGCTGCTGCCCGCCGCCCCGGCGCTGCCCGCCGCGCCCCTCACGCTGCCCCTCCGCGTGGCCGCGCCCGCCCCCGGGCCCGGGCCCCCCGCCGCCGACGGGCTCGCCCTGGCTCTGGAGCCGGAGCCGGAGCCGGCCGGGGGCGCGGCCAGCTTCCTGGCCATGGTGGACAACCTGCGGGGGGACTCGGGCCGCGGCTACTACCTGGAGGTGCTGATCGGGACCCCCCCGCAGAAGGTAGGTCTGGGGGCGCTGGCCGGTCCCCGGACCGACATCCCCCCGACCCTGCAGTCCTCGGGCTGCAGCCGCGGGAGCAGGCGGCTGGGGACCCCGCGGCCGCCTGGGGTCGGGGGTGCAGGTGGGGGGCGCGGGGGGCTCATCTGGGCCGGAGCCGGGCAGCCCTGCGGGGCGCGGCCAGGGGCGCGAGCACGTGTTTGTTTCCTGAACTTGTTCCCTCCCGCTCCCTGTGGCCGGGGCGGCGGGGGGGGGGGGGAGCCCCGGAACTTCCATCCGAGGACCTTCCTCCTGGCGGCTGCGCCCCCGTCCCACCCGGAGCCGTGCAGGGGGTAGATGCCTCTATTGGGGGGAGCACTCTGTTACTATGTACACACACACACACACACACACTCTGTGTTACTATGTACACACACACACACACACACACACACACACACACACACACACACTCTGTTACTATGTACACACACACACCTCTCCCCGCGTCTCCTCGCCCAGGCGGCAGGTGGCCGGCCCGGGACGCCCTGAGCTGGGAGGGGGCTGTGCGTGCGCCCCGCGGGGAGCCGGGGTCCTGGGGCGCGCTGTCTGCAGGGCGATCAGGGTGCCCTCCGGCCGCTTCCCTCCCCCGGAGCCGGCTCTCCGGCTCCCTCCTGGAACTCCCCTGCTCCCTCCCGTCTCCTCCGGCCGCCCAGCCCCTCCGCTTGGAGCCCGGGTCTGCACACGAGGCGCCAAGTGTTAATGCATCACAGCTGCTGGGAGAGCAGACCCGCCGAGCTGAGCTAGGCTTTCGGGACCCAGTGGTCTCCCGGTGACAAAGTAACATCGAACAGCTTTCCTTTCCTCCTTCTCCCAAGGATTTTCACTTCTCAGCACTTTTTGGAGCAAGAAATAAATGTCCCCAGGCCGGGTCATCTTAAGAAAAACAACATCCCAGGAATCGCATAGGCCCTCCCCTTCCTTCCTAATCGAAGGGTGATTGGAAGTCAGATGTTCCTTATCGGGATGTTACATTGTCTGAAGATACTTTATGTTTACTTCTAACATTGTCATTTGGGTTTTTTAATTCAGCCGTGCTACCTCCATAAATAGAACAGACTCATGACTTTGGTGTAATTCTAATTAAATTATTCAAGACTTTCTTGAGAAGCGGCATGCCATGCTAATTCTTTTTTTTTTTTAAAGAAACTGAGTAACTTCCAGACTCGTTTAATTCGTCTTTTTAAAAAACCTTCAAAAATGGATTCTGCTCAAAACTTTGATTCTAGTTCCTCTCATTTGAGTGTTGTCTCCAGGGTGGCTGGAGGCTGGAGGCTGGGGCTGGAGGCTAGAGGCTGGGGCCTGGAGGCTGGTGGCTGGTGGCTGGTGGCTGGTGGCTGGAGGCTGAGGCTGGGGCTGGAGGCTGGGGGCTGGAGGCTGGGGGCTGAAGGCTGGAAGCTGGGGGCTGGGGGCTGGGGGCTGGAGGCTGGGGGCTGGGGCTGGGGCTGGAGGCTAGAGGCTGGGGCCTGGAGGCTGGAGGCTGGAAGCTGGGAGCTGGGGCTGGAGGTTGGAGGCTGGGGGCTGGAGGCTGGGGGCTTGAGGCTGAGGTTGGAGGTTGGGGGCTGGAAGCTGGGGGCTGGGGGCTGGGTGCTGAGGTTGGAGGCTGGGGGCTGTAGGCTGGAGGGATGCAGTTCAGGGAGTGGGAGGGAGTCAGCTGAGGAGGCTTAAGGGACCACAAGATGCTGGTGCTGGTGAGACCACGTGAAAACATGTGCCGGGTGGTGAGAGCATTGAAGGTTTCTGTCTCACAAGATCTCACGCGGTACTGAGGGTGGGACCGCTGTGTGGCCTAAGGGTAACCTTGGGGAACAGGCCTAAATGCCTCTCCATTGGGAAAGGGAGGCTTGCTGAAGAACCCGTGTTTGTTTTCGAATAGGTGGGAATTCTCTCTACTGAAGTCAAGCAGGTTTCAGGGGCTGTGGTAAATGGGTCCTGATGCCCATCTCCCTCCAGAGAAGAGGGGAAGGAAAAAGCCCAAGAAAGAACTAAAAAACATTTCTCACCTGGCTGGCGTGGTTGAGCATCGAATGGGCCACAGTTTGATTCCCAGTCAGGGCACATGCCCAGGTTGCGGGTTCGATCCCAAATGTGGGATGTGCAAGAGGCAGCTGATCAATGCTTCTCTCTCATCATTGATGTTTCGATCTCTATCTCCCTCTCTCTTCCTCTATGAAATCAATAAAAATAAAAAAAATAAAACTTAAAATAAAAATATTTCTCTTGGGCTCCCAAAAACATAAACAATATTCCATAAGTAATAGCTTGTCTTTATTAATCAATAATCTTTGCTTTAAAATGAGAACGTTTAAGTTACAGGAATGCATTGAGTACCTAATGCTCATCATATCTTCACCTCGGCCAAGGAAGAAGTTTGTTCAAGGTTATTTCTCAGAGAAACGGTAGCATGTTTCCAGGGAAGGCTGTTTTTTACAATCTGCGTATAACTTTTACAGTCGACAGGAAATGAAGTACTCCGTGCCTCTCTCCTGGCCTGATTCAGTAATAAGCTGCTTTACGGCAGATCCACGTGTGTGATCCTTGCGAATGCCGCCTGTGAACGCTCCGGGGGCGGTGGCAGGTGCATCGGATTGCTTTTTCCCAGGCTCCCCTGCGGGGTCTGGCCCCCGGCAGGTGTTCGAGGCAGGTTAGCCATGCTGCAGCCGGCCTTGGGGGGACTTCTGAACCCAGAGTGAGCCTTCCTGCTCGCTTCATGGCCCAGACGCATGATTTACATTCCCTGCAGGTTCTCTGAAGCAGAAAACTTGCTTAGGTGGAGAGAAAAATGGGATTGTAGATTCAGGCAGTAAACAGCCAAGAGTTTTTGGAGAATTAAGTAATAGTCATATGCCGGGCGGGGTCCAGCCCCAGCGGTCCAGGGGTCCCCAAGGGTGTGGAGGGCTTGGTGATGATGTGAAGGGCTCCCTCCTGGCCAGCACGGTGCAATGGTGTGTGTGTGTGTGGGAGTGTGTGTGTGTGAGTGTGTGTGTGAGAGAGAGTGTGTGGGCCCTCTGTCCCAGGGGAGTCTCAGAACTACCTCACAGTCCTCATCCCTGCTGAAGGGGTGGGCAGACTGGGGCTTGAAGGGGCTGAAGGACTTGCCCGGGGCCACAGGACAAGGAAGCAGAAGCAGAAATTGAACCAGGACCCGGATTCCAGAACCCAGGTTCTGAACCACCAGGCAGAACCTGCTCCCTGGCCTTCCTGCCTCGTGGCTTCTTTCTCAGCATTTTGGCTTCAAAGATCCCTGGATCCTACCTCCCAGGGTGTTAAGGGCTTAACAGGAAACCGAACCCGGACTCTCCCACTCCCCCGACTCTCCTCTTCTTCCCGGCACAGTGAGCAGTTGGAATGGGAGAGAAGATTCCACAGGAACAAGAGCTCCCCGCCCGCCTGTACCCCCAGAAAAACCAGCTGTTGGGCATGGGCTGGTTCCCGAATGCTTTCATCAGGAACTGGGGCTCCTTGTTCTGCCTCACACTCTTCAAGGGATCTGCCCAGAAGCCCCGGGGAGAGCGGGACCGACCGCGTTGGCATGGAGATGAGAGCTGGCTGTTTGTGGCCATTATGTGACTTCTGATGGTACAGAACCCGCCTCTGCTTGAACCGGGCAGTGTGGTCTTATTAATAATAATAACAGTGTCCTAAAGTGATTATAATTGCAGCAATTTCTATGATAAAAAAAAAAAAAGGACTTTCATGCTAACACGGTGAATCCTACGGAAAGTGCTAAAGCTCTGCATCGCTATACCTGGTAATGGCTTTGAAAAGTCTTCAGGGGTTTCTGTTGAAAGTCGTCTGTCATCTCCGCTCAGACGGATAAGACAGGCAGCCAAATGATTCTCATAGTTACACATCTGAATGTGAGAAAAGAAGCCAAATTATTTCGGGGACTCGCATTTTAATCATGGTGCACTGGCTTGATTATTACTTAGTCCGCAATTTTTGGGAAGGGTTGGAGCTGAAAATGCGAACCGAGCCTCTGCCGTTGAGGAGGGAGCTGTCCAGTGTCCCCAGGTTGCACTGAGCTCCCTGCCAGCAAGGCCGGGAAACAGGAAGGCGGTGGCCAGCGAGAGGAGAAGTGATAGAACAAACCGAGGAGGCAAACAATGGGGGGAAAAGGAAAAGATTACTGGGGTTAAAAGAACGAGAACGTCAGAGCGAGGGTCTCTGCGGCTTCTGAGCTGGAGACAGAATTCAGCATCGACAGCCCTGCGAGGAAGGATTGCAAAGACCCACGCAAGACATCGGCACAGTCCCCGGGGTGGCACGGTCTGGGGAGCCGTTCGCCACCTTCCCGTGGGCTGCCAACCTCTATTTCAGGCGGATGGCGTGCTGGCACCATGCACAGGGCGCCTCATCTAATCCTCCCAGCAGCCCTTGAAGGATATGCAGTCATGTGACTTCCTTGTCAGCTGGGGAGGTCGGCTACTTCGTCCAAGGCCACATGGCGAGTGGCAGAGCCTGGGGAGCAGCCCCATCCACAGTCCAAGCCCCGCACCACTGCTCCTGCTGTGCACGTGGGCTTGTTAAATAACCACCTTGCCCAGCTGGCATGGCCCAGTGGTTGAGCATCGACCTATGAACCAGAAGGTCACGGTTCAAGTCCCAGCCAGGGCACATGCCTGGATTGTGGGCTGGTTCCCCAGTGTGGGGCGTGCAGGAGGCAGCCGGTTGATGATTCTCTCTCATCATTGATGTGCCTGTCTCTCTCTTCCCCTCTTCCTTCCTCTCTGAAGTCAATACAAATATTTTTTTAAATAACCAACCACCCTCAGACACACCTTCCTCCTCAAGTTCTTCCTCCCACCATACCCTGCACTTTCTTGACTTCTGTCTGTTTTCCTTCGCTGTGGGAGGTGGGTGTAGTGGGAAGGGTCTCGGGGCCCCGACGCTGGTAGCATTGCACACAAGGTCACAGGCAGGTGACCAACCTCCCTGTGTCCTCCTTTTCTCCTTCTGAGTTT